CCTCTATAGGCCTGTGTGTGTGTGTGTGTGTGTGTGTGTGTGTGTGTGTGTGTGTGTGTGTGTGTGTGTGTCTGTGTGTGTGTGTGTGTGTTGGCCTTGGCCTTTCATGGGAGCTCGATATGACTGTGGCCACTGGCTGTAGAATCCTGTTTAGTGCGGGATGGGCCCTCCTTGCTCAGTCCTGCCCAGATTTCACGTTCGATTCTAGCTGCTGTCCAGAAGCAGTGGTGTAGCTCAGGTGGGACACCACTTTCTTTGAGGACTCCCATGGGCTTACAGTCTGGCTTACTTTAAAATGAATGGTTGCATGGATCAACTACAGATTTTTGTCGGGTGTGTGTGTGTGTGTGTGTGTGTGTGTGTGTGAGAGAGAGAGAGAGACAGAGAGAGAGACAGAGAGAAACATCTGATCCCATTCTCAATCACTCTTCATCTCATTTTCTGAGAGGTCTGTCTCTAAAGCTGGAGCTTGCTGATTCTGTTAACTGACAGGCCAGCAAGGCCAGGGATCCCCTTGTCTCTGCCTCTCCAATACCGGGGTTCCGGGTACAAGCTGCCATAGTTGGCTTTTCTGTGGGTACTGAGGATCCGAACTCGGGACCTTGTGCTGGTGAGTCAAGCGCTACACTGACTGAGCTATCTATCCAGCCTCTTGACTAAGATTTTCTCCACTAGAATTTCTCACATGGTTAAAATTATATTATGCCTGTGGTCTAAAACTGGGGATTTTGGATCCTGCAATAAATCCAGAAACATACAATGACTCTAATGACATAAAACTCTAACCAGCAAAAGCAAGTGCTGTTCACCTCATCTCTTATGATGTCTCTCAGAATGGGCTCCATGGAGGCCATCCTTCACCTTAAAACACATTATTTCCCTGGAAACATGGGCTTTTCAGTTCAGGCTCATCACCAGTAAGCCAAACATCCATTTCTCAGGCTGAGGGCAAGCTACATTTATGGCTCCTTCAGATCTCCCATCTTTCAAGAGTAGAACCCAGGGCAGCACAGACATTCTCCCACACAGTGAAGCCACAGCAGCCAACAGAAACAGACCACAGGAGCTATGAAGAGTAGGCTCTCTATGCAAAAGTGGACAGCAGTCATGGACTCACAGAAGGCCAGAACAGAGCCCGAGGCCAGGCACCGCTCAGCCAAGCACCCTGTCTCCTCCAGCAGAACTTGAATCCCAGTGGTGGCTCCTCTGCTTATCTACTCTGTGATTTAGGAAACATCTCTCCAGTCTCTGGCTGAAAACGTACTTCCAAAGCCAAAATGCAAGCAGTGGCAGTATTTCTGGGGTGGGAATGATAGAAAGAAATGAATTGGAATCTTGCCTGATTGACTGTCAGGGTGTAAGAGATAGATGTGGTGGCCTTGCTGCAAATGCAAACATTTCTCACGGTGTCTGCACTGGCTGCTCCATCCTGGTTTGCGTACACAGCAGTCCACTACCCAATTCTTAAACGTTCATGAAAGGTCCAAAGAAAGGCCTGTTGGTGGAGTTGGGGGTATTCTCAAATAGGAAATGTTTGTGGTTCTTATCTTTAGAGGTAATTCCCTTTTTAGCTCCAATCACAACATATCCTTTTGTTTAAATGAGGTTTTTCCCAGTCTCTAGCCAGAAACTGCATCTGTTAACAATCTTTGGGTTTTAGACTGGAGCTTTTAAAACAATGAACCAGCTGACCATGGACGGCATCTGGCCGTGCTGTATTTACTTATTGTTCACATAAGTTTTAGATCCTGGGAACAGTAGGGAGTAGTTCTTCAGAGGCGACGATAAGGTGTCACTCGCTGCATTATGGTGACAACAAGCACAGAAAGAGGTCTTTAACGTCCGTCCTTTGTGTCACTGAACCAGTGCTGAGCATCTAGAAGGTGCTCTTCTCGCTTCCCAGAGTTTGCAAAGCCCCAGCAAGGCTGTCCATACCATGAGCTGCAGAGACTGGGGGAGAGAGAGAGCAGGCCTTCACAGGGGTACCCAATCTTGTCTGTGTTCCCTCTGGCTTCCAAAGCCTCAGCTCTCATGATTTGAGTCTTCACGTGGCATTCCTGTACGTCTTGTGGAACCACTTTGGGGAAGGTGAATTTTCACTATCTTGAAAATTTTACTCTTTCTCTCTTGATCTAGCTTAGTGAAATTATTCTGCAGTGTTCTCCATCCTGGCCACGGTTTGGCCATTGTGATCTCTGCATACTGTTAATCTGGCACCGGGTACCTGCTGAGGACATGTAGGGAGGTAAATTTAGCTAGTGCTTCTTATTTCTTTTATTTGGTTGGTTTATTCTGATTGGATCAAACCCCGACTCCTTGGACGGTCTCCTTTCAGCAGGAGCACGTGGTGACGAAGGTTGTACTGCGTGGGGGCGGGCATGAGGGTTGCTGTTCTCTCAGCTCCTGGAGATGGAGGGCAGCCAGTGTTTGCAGTACAGAGAGGGGGTGATTCTCTCAAAATAGGACCGAGAGGAAGCATATGCTGGCGTCGCGGAATTAAAGACAAGGGAACCCTCTGTTTCCTACATGGCTGTCGAACAAGGAGGTAGGATTAGCCACTGTCCTGTAGCTGGTGCTGTGTCTAAGCGCAGGCTCTGTGCTGGCCTGGGGTGTTGGAGACCAGGAGGAAACCGGTTTCTTTCTTTCAGCTTGTTTGCTTTGTTCTGC